TGTAGAAAAGCTCGTTGCAATTAGACGGGGGGGAGGGAAGAGTTTCTCGGAAATAAAATGGTGCTCGTGTGGCCGGTGAAATATACCCGTCATACGTTCCTCTCTCTGCAATCTGTACCCCGGGTAGGGAAGTAAATCCCCCGGGTTGTAGCAGTGGAAGATGCGGAGGACAGGAACGTCTTGCATAAGACGCACTTCCACGCGTTCTATAAATTCTCCCCCCCTAATCCACGCGGCTGATCCCCCGTATCGATAACAGGACCGTTCCGTGTCTTCGTTGAAACTGTTTATCAGAAAGGGGAGACATTAGCGGGAGCTCCGGGCTGACTTCGATGATTAAAACGGCCAATTCGTTTCTTTGCTTGTTACCGCTTACGCTTCCTGCCACTTGTCTCTCCGTGTTTTACGATCCTCGTGTGTGCTCGTGGTTAAGCCCGTTTACGAGCGTCCCCGCAAAAACGGCTGCGATATGTCTGCACATTCGTTAATTTCAAACGATGAGGCACACGGTCGAGCACGATTACCAGCGGCTTTTCAACGTCTGATCGAATCTCTGTAGCAGTGTGCGCGAGATGGGACGATGATGGACGATACGGTGGGTCTAGGATATTTTGTTTTGGTTTCTTTGTTGGGGCAGTTTGTGTTTTAAGTGGGGGATTTAATAGTGTTTTTGGATTGAGATTGTTTTTGGTAAATAATTGAGGAGGAGAGTTCATTGAAATTTGAAAGATTTATATAATCGGTGCCTAAATTTGTTATATTTTTGGTAAATAATTGAGAATTTTTTGGAATTTGAGTTTTACTGATATTTCAGGGTTTCTGAGTTTAATGGAGACTGTATAATTTTATTTCAATTTTCGGGGGTAAATAAATGAATATTTATCGAGAGATGAGATTCTATCTTTGGGTGCCTAAATTTGTTATATTTTTGGTGAATATTTCCGGTGGAGAATCTTTTGAAATTTGAAAGATTCAATATCGACGATTTTTCCTGCTTTGTCACTTTTTCACCTAAGAAAGCATTTAATTTTATTTCAATTCTTGGAAGATAAATAAATAAATATTTATCGAGGGATAAGATTCCACCTTTCACTGCCTGAATGTATTTTTGATAAATATTTGAGGAGGAGGATCCTTTGAAGTTTGATATATTCAGTCTTGACGATTTTTCTTCCTTTTTCACTATTTCCACATTTCATGGACGCTATATTTCCACATAATCAAATAAGTAAAATGTATTTCGTTTTATTTACTTTTTTAGGAGATAAACAATTTTACATTACTTCAATTTTTCTGGCAGAAATAAATAAATTGAGAATAAGATTTCTCCTTTTTTTATAAATTTTTGCAAAAAAGGATAAAATTTGAGACATTCAGCATTGACAATTTTTCCCAAGTTTGACAGAAACTACATTTCCAATAAATATTATAAATATCGATAAGTAAGAGAAGTTAACAAGTTTTCACTAATTTCAATAAAAGAGCAATGAAACGATTATAATTTGACGAACGTATAAGGTCGTCGAATGTTAAACCACTTCCTCGTCGATTCAAATTGAAATCATAAGTCATCGATATACATAAATCACAACGAGTCACCGTAAACACTTCTAACAAATACGGTTGTCCTTCCACTGATGGGGGCAAACAACAATAGCATCGCAAAGCGATCAAAGCGAGCGACACAAAGTGAGTAACACAAAATGAATGACGTCTTACTGTCTTCATAACAGACTCGCAGTCTCGTTGTCTCTCCAAACCTTCGACTAATGGTCCTGTTGAACTTTCCTCCTCTCCAGACAGTAATTCAACCCTGAATTACCAGCAATGTGTAAACTCTGCATACTTTATCAAATAGCATGTCCAATGAACTGCTGAATATAGAGTATAGTTACAAAGAAAAATACAACACTGTTTATTTTTCTTAATCTTTATGTCAGAAAACAGTTAAAATCTGTAATCTGTAATGCTGCTTATCGACAGAGAAAAATAAAAATTGTTCAAACTTGGAAGCATCAAAAATAGCATACATTCTTCGATATATTGTAATTTTTTAAATAAAATCTCAATAATTGCACTGTATAAAATTCAATTACATAGAATACTGCTTTTTTTTTTAATTTTATATTTAAAAACAGTTCATATCACATAAACACTAGAATTACCAGCCGAGTCAGAATGACCAATTAGTGAGTTTCCAAAACTAAATTTTTATATAAGTAAAACGTAATCAGAAAATTGAATTCATATCGATGGAAGTAGAAGCATACACGCAGAAAATAAAATCGGCAAGTTACAAATGATCGAACATTCACTTTTCTCCGAAAATTGCTAATGTGTCATTTTGACTCGGCCGGTAAGTTCTAGTGTTAGATCAAAAATTGCTCAAACCACCCTTAAAATTTGTCAACGACACAAAAACACGGTATAACATAAATTCTTCGATGATTTACAATTTTTTTCAACCAAAGTCTAGCTAATTACACTCACGTGCCGCTGCATTCCAAACGAATGCTGAAATATACTTAATTACCGCGATAAATTCCCCCTGGATCATGCCCTCCTGAAATTCCAGCCCTTGCGAAGATCTGAAAATAAAATCTGTCCCGATCAATTTTGCGCGCGCACCGCTGGAGGAAAAATAGGTGGAACGAAGCGGGTCGCGAAGCTGAGCACGGTTGAAACCGGCCAATGAAAAATCTGTCGGGCAAGCGCGTGTTAAATCATGCAGAAATGTTAATAGACCGATCGCGGAGCGTCGACGAGCCGTCGTTCCGGCCGCAGCGGCGGCGATGGCCTGGAAATTGTGACAAACGTCGTGGCCACGCGGCGCCGTAAAAATAATGAAGATCAAGCGTCGCTGGAAGTAGTTTATTATGAAAACCGCACGATGTGCCGAAGGAGTTAAGGGCTTGGCCTAAACTTATGGCTCCGCTTGGTACACTTGCGCCGAGGTCTTTGCACCGTGAAGTTTGCTTTATAAATATCGCCGGTGCACCGGAGTTGTCCAGAGAAACGAACCGTGTCTTGGATGAAATGAACGGGTCTAAGCCCATCTCTTTGCTTCACTGCAACGAATCCGTCCGCTTTTTCGATCCGTCTGCCATTATTTTCCTCTTGCTCTTTCCTCGCGTGTAGCCACCTTCTTTACGCCGACATCGGGACGTGACACGGATCGGTCCTTGTTTTATCAACTTACAATTCTTAACGGGGTCTCTATTGAAGACTCTTGTCTCGAATTTTTTTTAGTGAGAAATTTAGGCATTCTCTTTTTAGTTACTCCTTGAGTATTAGGACACCCGTTATATTCTCAACCCTTGCAAAGGGACGTCTCGAAGTGACAAGCACCGATTTTGGTGTGAAACTTTGGTTTATGGTAGTTTTCGAAAAAATATTTGACACGTGTTTCTTTTGTGTCAGCGATAGTAAACAGCGAAGGGGTGAAAATTGGTGTGAAAGTTGAAGGTAGTGTAATATCTCGAAAATTATTAGAGACAGAGGAAAGTATAAATTGGCAAATTTTCTATTTTTCAGTCACAAATTTGGAGAATAAAAGATAATAAATAATTTTGACCAAATGTGTTCATTGCACTCATCTCCGAGGGCGATTATTCGCCCCTTCGGTGTGGACGATTAATTATGTTAGAGAAATAAAAATTCTGACTCGTCTCGGAGAAAAGGGAACGATCTGTAATTAAAGCAGAAATTGCTAAATTTTTTAGCGACTGTTGAGGCTCGTTTCACGTTCAGCAAGTGTCTTAAACCCTCTGCAGTCGAGTGGCGACTGAGAAGCGACGTTGAATAATTGTCACTTGGTAAATCAAGTCAGGGAACAGATCTATAGGCCTCCGTAAATTTCTTCGCCATAGTGAAATAGAGAACACGTGGAATATTTGAATAGAATAGTTGAAAAAAATTTCTAAATGTCCTGCGTGTGCAAAGGGTTAATAATTCGAAACGAAGGTGTACGTTTCTGAAGTTACAGGAAAGATTGAACGATACTTTACACTGCTAAATTATTTTATTTACCAAACAAACGTTTCTTCTGATAATATCAATAATACAAAGTTGCCACATATGATTAATATCGTGGTAATATCGTATTCCAATTTGCTTACTCTCTAAATGTACAATTTACGATTACTTGTCGATAATAATTTATCACACAAACAGATTTACACTTGCAAGTCTCGAAGTGTTCGTCGTAAAAATGTTTGACACATTGTTAACTTTTCCGAACAAGTACCCAACGATATAATTAAGTACAGAGTTCACGAAGGGTACATTTCATGCTTTGCAAACCAAACAGTTGGACCATGAAATTAGATACACTATGTCACACCACGCAAATATTATCGTTGAAGCCAAGGGAATAATAGTGTCAAAGGGGAAATAAATGTGGTCGTAAATTAGTCTTAATTATAACTCGGTAAAAATGGCCAAGAATAATAGGAAAATTGTTCCGTGAAATAACGTGCTCAAGTGAACTTAAGCTGACAATTAGACGTTTCGAAGCGAATTTATGCGCTCTTAGAAAAATAAGAGAACGGTGTTGGAACAGTATAAGTTCTACAATCGTGAATAGAACGGCAAGGAAAATTCAAGTGAAAGACTAAAAGTACGCGAAATAAATGAATTCTTAATAACGTAGAAATAAAGGACGTTGGAAAATAAACTTAAGAAATGTAGCGGCTTGTGCAATATTTCGAACACATTAGCTGCATTTCTCAAGCGTAATATTGCAACAAAATCTAACACGACACTTCTTCTGCACGGGTGTGCGTATAAAAATAAAATTGAGTAACCGATCGATCCTTATTATTTATACACTGCAGACGTGAAAAGGAGGGCTCTTTATCGAAGAAGAAAAAAAGTGCATACGATTTGCATTATAGGATAGGCTACAAATGGAGTATATGAAAATGTTTATTTATAACAAGACACACTCTATAAACATATCGCGTGTCACACTTTCGTATTTTTCTTTTCGTTTTTCCCTATCTTATTCTTACATTACTTTGTACTAATTGCGTATTCCTTCTCTGTCTCTCTCTCTCTATGTACAAGTTGACAAGCGGTATAAATAATTCTAGTATTTGAATCGTTACGATACAACTTTGCGCCGTTTAATGCCCGGCAATTTAATCCGTCGGTGTTATTCTGCAAAAATTCTCCCCGTTTCGCACGTTGTAGCTAATGAGATTCGAGGCTGGTGAACGTGTAATTGTCTTCGCCTCTTACCGTGACAGACGATGAAAAATCATGTGCAATGCAAATCGAGCGCTCTTTTTTTTTCTCCTTTTTCTCTCTCGCTCCTTAACGAACGTTGACGGTGCAATTATTTCGCATGGTCGGTTATTTCTTTGTAACGTTGCTGGGTCTTTCGCCATAACGCCTGCTTCTTTTCCGTCGTAGAATCTAGTTCGATTGTAGGAAATTCGCTCGTTGCGCCGAGACCGGTTTTGCTCGGATTATTCGTCAAAGATACCTGCAAGCAGAGCATAAATGAATACAAGATAAGCAGATTTTTGTTCCCACGTAATGTTTCTCACTCGCTTTACATAAACGCGCTCTTAGTTTTCTGCTTATTCGTTCGTTTAATTATAGTAAACGGACTCGTTATAATTAGAGGTACTGTGAACCTGTGCGCGCAAAAGCCTTGCGCAACGTTAAAGATACAACGACGAGTTTCGCATTGTAAAAATGATCGATGTGCAACCGCAGGCGGGGGAACTTTTGCCTGCGAAATTTGCGCGCTTCGAACGGCGGTGATTCAAAGTTACGCCTTCTGAGAAATGAACTTTTGAAAAGATATACTTTTTGAAAATTGAAGTTTAAGAAGTCGACATTACCGACCGAACGTATTACAACGGGTGTCTCATAATGAATTCTAGGAGAACTGATAAAGAATGCTATTACATCGGCGATATTACGGGAGGAAATTTTTTTAAATTGCAGACGAGATTGAAGTATCAGTCGGTGTGAATAATACGGTAGAACATGGTAGATCGTTATGCGTTAAAATTGCCAGAGAAACTAAAAGTAATTTTAGAATTCCAAATCTTACAATTTGAAAAAAGCGCAATTTTTCAACACAAAGCAAATTTTGAAATGTCTTACACTCTTATTGTTACTCTTCGTTGCAAGTATTCCACGATCATACTGCGTCTCTTCTGCTTCCTCCGCGAAAGCCGCGATCTTCGTTAAAATCGCAACGGTCGATACAGCGATTATTCGAAATAAGAAACTGTCTCTCCACTTAATTATTTCATTCTCGGTACCCTTGTCGACGTGCACGCGAAGGGAAAGAAAAAAAGAAAGAGGCAAATCGAACGAACGAGGCGAAAGATTATTTGGCAGCGGCTCTTATTGAGGGAGGGTTACTTTAAAGTTCCGAGTCGCAACCACTGGGCAGAATACCCTCTCTCGACGCGTATTTGGGCCAAGTGGACTCCCCCGTCTGGCTTGTAAATGAGGCCCTATCTAGCTTCGTCGGCACTTGACTTACTTGGTTGAAAGGAAAAGAGACGAAAAGGAAAGAATGGGAAGAGCGCAAAAAGGAGAGACGAGGAAAGGATCCCGGCGTGGAACAGGAAAACAACGTCTGATCTGACTGGAAGGCAGAAATAAGTGGAAAAAGCGTCTCGCTTAGGGATACGAACGGAATGGTAGTAACACTGACAAATAAAACGGGAATAATACGGTGGAAATGTCGAACGGGAACTTGGTATTCTGGAACGAACTACTAAGAGAAATATAACAAAAGACGCGTGTAATATAGTCGTGTTGCAAGTGCATTATTTTTAAGAAAATCGTAGAATTAATGGAGAAAAGTCGCGGAGAACGAGGATTTGCAATACTGGGAATTGTTGAATTAGCGTTAAATATTAACCAGAAGTATCCAGAAGGAATTTCTGTGATTTTATGGAGAGGCAAGCGCCTCGGAAAATCTCGAGATGCATTTCACAAGGTTTCTTTGCTCACTTGCCTGTATCTTAAAAGAACCTCGTTTATAAGTTTGAAGTAGCTGCAAAATGCAACACAGGCGAATGGTTTTCAGGCTTTAACGGAGTCGAGTGTTCTTACTTTCGCCTACGTGGAATTCACCAAGCCGCAGAAATAACTCATTAAAGAAACGGTGAGCTAAAGGAATGACGAAATATAATAATTAACACGGTTTTCATAAATATTGGGTCGCTGTATTCATTTTTACAAGTTTCTTGCCGCGAAAATACCCGCCTCGGCGAATTTTCTTAATATTTTCTTGATACAATCCGTATCAAATTGCCCGATTTCTGGCTGGAAAGTCGTTCCCAAGACCCGGTCAAACGATCCCAACGAAAAACTCCCCCGAAAAAAGTATACAAAAATTAGTTTCACCGCATCAGAAGCTATCTAAACATCGTGCGAAACATTTACACCGTCGTTGCTATCAATTTTTAGCCCTGTGCACTCCGAGCACTTCTCCGCAAGATTAATAGCGAAACTTGTGAGAATCCGAGGTTTTGTTTTGAGAAAGAAAATAAATTTACTTATTTCTATTTCTTCTGTTAATTTGCACTATTTCGATAACATAGAAACACCTGAATTTTACGTGCAATTATTAGAGTGCAAAGGGTTAATACACCCCGGTTCTTCGCAAGTGAAGATTGTAATTAGACCGTTAGATAGAGATCCTGCTGCTCTCCGAAGCTACCTGTACACTTGTAAAAATAACCACCTGAACATTAATAATCCGACGAAACATCTAATTTACACGATGAGCTTTCCTAAACTATTAAGTACCACAGGCATCGCATCCTCGAACAACCACTTTAACCAGCATCCAAGAAATTCTCCCATGGAAAATCCGCCGCGGCTGCACCACCTTTCTTGCCACGGCTCGTCCTCGCCTCGGTGCCCTCCGGAACACGAAGCAAGGAGAGCCGAAGAGGAGTAGAGGAACGAAGGACGATAGAGAAATTCGCGAAAAGGACGAAGGAGTGGGAGGGAGGGAGGGGTTGGGTCGCGGTGGAAAGATGAGAACGGATCATGATCGAGCGACAGACGCGTTATCGTGCGCGTAAAATGAGCGCTCGTTACTCGATTGACGAGCTCGCGAGACGTTCAGGAGCAAAACGGCTCGACTCGAGTTTCGCTTTCTCGCTCGACGATGATGGCGATGATGCATCCGTCTGGCCTGTCTAGACCACTTATATATATTATAACTGGCGCTCGCTCGTCCGTTCTCTCTCCTCTCGCTGCTCGCAAAAGACAAACACCACGACCTCTCCTCCTTGTCTCTCTATCTCTTCTTCCCCACCTCTATCCTCCTCCTCCTCCTCCTTCTGCCATCTCCTCTTTAGCCGCCGATGGAATCTCGCGAATATATATTTTACCTGATTTATGTCACGAAGATGATTAATCTCTCTCTCCAGCCGGAGCGTTATCTCTGAAGCGGAATTAGTTTTTCTTGTTGGCTCGTCGTTGAGTCATCGCTTGGCGAATTTTTTTAATGGTTACCTAACGTTCATGTAACACGTCGCGTCACTTTTATTATACTCGATAGACGCGTTCCCGTGGTACGAGAGGGAGAGATAGCAGTTTCTGGTGCATCGCGCTCGATTTTTAACGCGATTCCAATTTTCGCGTAATTTATACTTTATGTATTCTTGATTATCATCGGCGAGACGATGTCTTACCTCCAAGTGTTCGTCGTTGATCATACACATTGAGCTGATGTTGTGGGTAAAATCGTTTAACGAGGCGGTATGCTGTTATGCTGTACAGGTACGATCGGATGTGTGATTCGTGCGACTGACTTGGAGGATGTCGTTTAGTAACTTTTTTTTCTTTCTTTAGAAATTGTGCAGTATTGCTTAATGATTGCCGTTTTAGTTTGTGCAGGATTTTAATTGATCTTGTGATTATTAAAAATTGGTAGTAAAGTGGAGCCTGGATAGAAATTTCTTTTGCCTATGATGAGTTTTAATCGTGCGCTCTTTATTTTGCATATATTGCAGTTTTTCTCTTTAAAAATATATATTAGGTCATCCCATAAGTTCGTGCCGAAAGCGAGAAATATTCTAATAAAAATCCAAGGAAATTCTATAACGACCACATAATGGTCTTACCAAAAAAATAGGTGGAACGTTGTGGAACGGGAAAGCGCTTACGTGTTATTATATCAAATTTAAAGGTTTGTTGGAAATATTGATCTAAATCATAAAATTTGTCACGAACTTATGGGATGACCTAATACAAAAGGATATTGCATATTTCTAATAAGTGTATCATACATGATCCGCTTATAAATGAATTTTCATTGATAAACGTGATATCAATTAACTACAGCGAATATAGTTGAAAAGTGTCTGCAGTTTATTGTCATTTAAATTACAATTATAATGTGCAATTAATAAAGGTTCCATTACCACGGCATATTTTCGTAATTCACATATTTTATTCGCATACTTTAATACACTTCAAGTGCAATAATTATCATATCGCGAGAGAAATATTAGGGTGACTGTTTTAAAAAATTGCTAAAATTATGGTTGACTTGTTACACGATCGTCGCTGATTGTCTCGATCCGATCTTTTAAAGAAGGTTACGTGGGCCATCGACCGTTCAAATCTAAACTTATCACAGCTGCACACGATGGACAGATGGTCGAGGCAACGATACCCCGGATTACTTATTAAAAACGGATTAAAAGTGTCTGCGGGACAAACGCGGCCGTTTTCTTATGTACGATGCAGACGGACCATAAATCGGTGGCTGAACCGAGAACCAGCCTCGTAATGTAAGCCATAGACGGCCAAGTGAACCGAGCAACGTTCGATCGTTGAATTATTTTCATCGATCGATCGTCGCACGAATGTCGCGACCCAGATATCATACTTACTTTATGAGAAAACTCTTTGCTTTATGAATCAACCTTTAGTCAGGTCGAAGAGATACCAAACCAGCCGTCGGATTTTTAATTATTCGACGGACTCGGAGCGGATAATAATTCAAAACCGACTGGAAATGTATCTTTCAGTAACTAAAAGTTTCACGGAGATTTCACACGATCTCGAAGTATTTCTGGAATATTCTCGAACGTTCGTTCTTAAACTTAATCGTGTATTAATCTTCAAATTTGATCTCGAGATCTTCTGAAATTTACAGGAATTCTTTTTCGTAGGAAATGTATCTTTTCACAATTCAAACTTTCACGGAGATTCCCGACTTGGGAGTATTTTAAGGAAATTTTTAAACGTTAATTCCCAAATTTAATCTTATCTCGAAATGTTTCCTCGAGTCTTTTCAAATTTAATAATTTTCTATTTTCATCGAGATATTGAGAAATGTATCTTTTACCAATTCAAATTTTCACGGAGATTTCACGATTTCAAAGTGTTTCAAGAAAATTCTCAAGTTTAATCGTATGTTAGCTTTAAAATTGTACCCAAAAGTCTTTTCAAATGTGAAATTAGGAGGATTCGAAAAGGATTTGGAAAAAA